TTCTTCTTGTAGCTTTGGTGTTGGACCCTAGATATAAACTGAGATACTTCTCAAGGGTTCTTGAAAAAATGTTGCAACATGATAGTGATTATGTGAAGAGAAAAACTGAAGTGCTCAAAGATTTGATTGTCACACTCACTGATTTATATGCATCAATGAATGGTGGTCAAAGTAGTAACACAAAAAAAATCTTGGGAGTTTCTGAAGCTGAACAGAATGAAGGTAGCAGCAGGTAACTTTTTAGTTGATTATTTGTTCTAAAATTGTGTGACTTATTTATTTTTGTGCATATATGTTAATACATTGTGTTTTCTGTTTTTCTTTCACTTGATTAGGTGTCCATCCATGAAGGTGACAGGGAGAAGGGCAATGATGATGGAGGATTGGCAAAAGGATCTTGAAGATGGAAACGCAATTGTAATTGCTCATGAAGTGGATAGATACCTGCTTGATCCTATAGAGAAACCTGAGGGTGATTGGGACATTTTGAGTTGGTGGAAGTTAAATGGATCCAAGTATCCTAACTTGCAAGCTGTTGCCAAGGATGTTTTGGCAATCCAAGTCAGCACAGTGGCATCTGAAGCTTCTTTTAGCACTGGAAAGAGGGTAATTGATCCTCATAGGAGTTCATTAACTCCAAGGTCAGTTGAAGCATTGATTTGCCTACAACAATGGTTGAAGTCAGATGCCATTACCAGCCTTGCACACACCCCTACTCCTGAGGAAATGGAATGGTTGGAGAAAACAGAACAAGGTAAAGTACTGAAGTTTATGAATATGATATGATTTAAATCTTAACTCATTTATATTTCATACAATATTCTTAATGTTTTGATTTTGCTCTATTGTTTTCCACTTCACACAGAGTTGGACCAAGAAGAAAGAGAACTAAGGAATAAACTTGAAGAAAAGAAAAATAAAGAAAGCAAAACTTCAAAGGCTAACAAAGGAGCATCTGATGGAAAATTATCCAAGAAACAGTGTGGTGTCACTGATGTTTGAAGATTACAGTTTGAACTTTGAACAATTTATGTGTTACTGATGTGGATTTAGTAATGTTCTGAATTTTTAGTTTTGTCATTTGTGTGCTTGTGGTTGACTGGTTGTGGCTGGGAACTTGAAGTCTTAAGGACATGTCACTTGAACAGTTATGAATTATCTCTCATGCTTTCAGCTTGTGTTTGTACTTTGTTGAATTGTTGTGGATATTCATTGAAGTGATTTGTGGTTTGTACTTTCTAATGTATTGAAGTGTCAATTGTGTATTGAAGTGTGGTGACTGATTCGTGGTTTGAACTTTGAAGAATGAAGTGTGTATTAACTTGTTAGTTATTAGTAGTCTTGTTTAATGTTTAATGTTTATTTAGTTGTTTTAATTTTTAAAGCTTGTTTATTGTTTTTCTGTTTTTCTGTTTTCTGTTTTAAGGTCGATTATTTTGTAATATTCGGTTATTTATGCTTGTTTTCTGTTTTTCGGTTTTTCTTGTTTTATGTTTTAAGCTCGGTTATTTTGTAAAATTTGGTTTATTATAACAAATCGGTTATCCATAAAAACCGGACAAACCGAACTGAAACCAAATTTTCGGTTATAAATCGGTCGCTGCCAAAAAAATACCATAACCGAACCGATATGAAGACTAAAAAAACCGAACGATTCCTGAGAAAAATTACAATAACCGAACCGAGCCCATCCCTATTCATTTCCAACAATATAACCGCTCCTCTTTATCTAAACCGGACTTCTTTATCTCTTATCTATAGTCTTTCTCTCTCTTCCACTTTTTGCTCTCTCTCCTCTTTTTGTTTCCTTCTCTCTCTTCTGATTTCCACCATTTTTTTACTTCATCTTCATCTTCATCTCTTTTTTTTTTCTTCTTCATCTTCTTCTTCAAATACAAATACACATGCCTGAAAAAAAAACCCAACAAAAAACAAAATAAAAACAAAAGGATTGACATATACATAGCAATATTATATACATAGCAATCCTTCATATATATTATTCTGGAATGCGCTGAGCCTACATGGCTGCTTCTGGTGCTTCGGAATCCTACTTGGCAAAGAATCATGCTTCGTAATTAGGTTTGGACAAATAATATTGATATATTAATAATTAATAATTTAGGTTCGGACATTCCATAAATATTAAATAGCTACCTTAGGTATTTTAATAGCTACCTATTTAGGGTTCTCGACTTTATTCTGAGGCAAATCGAAGGGGAAAGAGGAGAAAGCGGAGTACACACCCCCTAAGCCCCTTCCCATATGTGAATAAACAGAAATCGCCGCCACTGTCATCCTCATAGCCATATCAGCTAGGTTTACAAAACACTTGTATACAATAACCTCATATTTATATATGTATAATGTTGCAGAATAAAATTCGCGATAAAACATGAAAATAGATCAAGAAATTCGATCTCATATAACCTCCATATATATCCTTATTAAATTAGTGAGATTTCTCAGTAGTTTCTGTTAAAATTCCATATTTTATTTTGTGTTTTATTCAATTTGGATTTATGAAACTTGTCTAGGTATGTTTGGTAAAACTAGCTGATAAACTAGTTTATAGTTGTTAAGTTAGCTTATGACATATATAAATGATTTTCGAGCTTATTACGACTTATATAGTAAAAAATGTTTGATAAAATTAGTTGAAAAGCTAGATGAAATAAAAATTTCAAAAAAATTGTTTGAAAAGCTGCACAAAAAGACTTATGAGATAAGTTCGGACTTTTTACAAAAACTCGTCTTACCAAACAAAAATTCAAAAATTATGCCAACTTTCTCTTGAAAATGGAATATATTGCATTAATTGTATATTTCTTTAATAAATGCTTACGGTTCCGTTACGGAATCATTCCGTCAGAGTTTGTAATCGTTGGCATCATGTAACTGTCGAGATAGTTGATCTAACGGTTACAAATCCCAGAGATTGTAGCTCCTATTTCTTTTTACTCTTTTTCTTAATTTTTCCAAGTGGCTAGACACGAATATTTCAAAAACACACGTGTCTTACAAGTAGCACCCACTTTTACATGCACCCTTTGCATGCTATCCTCTCCGACACGTACCCCTTCCCCCCCACTTTACTTATTTATATACCCTTTACCTTTCTTCAAAATTCATCCACAATATTAATTTCCTCTCAAAATTTAAATAAAAAAAAATATATATATATATATCAAAATGGCCGAGCACTACACACCGTACGCGCAGCAGCAGCAGCAGCAGCAACACCAGCAGGGCGCGTGGGACCGACGCAACAAGCAGCTGCCGGTCAGCCACCGCTTGGTGAAGGCGGCCACCGCCGCCACCGCCGGCGGGTCCCTCCTCCTACTGTCCGGGCTGACCCTGGCTGCCACGGTGGTGGGCCTCACCCTCGCCACGCCGCTTCTGGTGATCTTCAGCCCGGTGCTGGTGCCGGCCGTCATCACGGTGGCGGTTCTCGGGTCGGGTTTCCTGGCGTCCGGCGGGTTCGGGGTGGCGGCCCTGAGCGTGCTGACGTGGATATACAGGTACGTGACCGGGAGGCACCCGGTGGGGTCGGACCAGCTGGACTCGGCCCGGACCAAGCTGGCGGCGAAGGCCCGGGACATGAAGGACAGGGCAGAGCATTACGGGCAGCATGACGTCAGGGGGACGTACTCTTCTTAGAGATTTTTGTTTGTTTGGTGGTTGTTTTGCCTTTTAATATGTTGTATGCTATGTTTATGTAATTTGTCTCTTTTTTTTTTTTTTTTT